ACCTTCCACCATGTTCGAGACATGGTCTTTCTTGTTTACTGATAAGTACCCCAGGCTAGCTGGATTGCAAGCTTCCAGGGATTTCCTGACTTTGCTTCCCATCTTCAGAGGGGAGCATGCTGGGATTACAGATGCTTGCACTACCGTGTCCAGCATTTACGTGAGTTCTGGAGATCTCAACTCCGGTTATCAGGCTTGTGTGGCAAACACTTTACCCACTGAGTCACCTCTTCAGCCCTAACTGGTATGTTTTAAGAGTATCATGGGCCGGGGCTGGAGAGATGGCTCAGCAGTTAAGAACAGTGGTTGTTCTTGCAGAAGACCCGGGTTTAAATCTCAGCACCCACATAGCAGCTAACAACTGTTGGTAACTCCAGTTCCAAGAGATCTGACACCCTTTTCTGTCCTCTGTGGGCACTGCACGACACAGGTGCACTTACCTACATGCAGGCAATACACACACACACATAAAATTAAAAAAAAAAAAACAAAAAACGATTATCATGGGCCAACCTAACGTGGGGTATGAGAAATCAGAATTAACAAAAATTCAGGTATTTGGGTTCAAGTCTAAGGATAATCTCTGTATCTCACTATCTCTAATGTAAAATAAAAATGAACACATACATTTTGAAGGACACTGAAGGCAAACTAAGTTTTAGAAATGTAAAAACTCTGGGCAAGAAAAAATTTGGAAGAAAGGTTTTATTTACATTCTGAAGCATTCTGTGGTATGAGCGCCATTTTGGTAGGAATATATCTGAAGATGAAGAAAATGCTGACCCAAGTAGGTAGGCTTCAAAATATAACAGGTTACATACTCTTCAGTCAACAGAATGCTTAATGTCTTGGCCTAAGTTAGTTCTTTTAAAGTAGTTCTTTATATTAATCTCACAGTGTTGAACAACTTTTTATACACTTGTTGGCCATTTGTTTATCTTCTCTATAGGAATTTCTATCAGTCCTTATTTTTTAAAAAGTTTATTTTTATTATGTGTCTGACTATAAGTGCATATGTGTGTGGAGGTACTTGTGGAGGGCAGAGAAAAGGGCACTGGAGCCCCTAGAACTGAGGTTAAAGGCAGTTTTAAGCTTCCTGACATGAGTGATGGAAACCAAACTCTAGTCCAGTAAAAGAGCAGTTTCAGCTCTTGACCACTGAGCAATCTCGACAGCGTCCTTTACTCATTTTCAAAATTAGTTGTTTATTAGCTATCGAATTGCAGGATTTCCTTTTACATACTGACTGTTAATTCATCATTCCACCCATTCTGTAGGCTGTTTCTCACTCTTTTATGTGTTTCTTTTGCTGTACAGAAACTTTTTAGTTTGATGTAGTCCCACTTGTCAATTTTTTTTTTTTCCCCTTTGGTCTTTTTGAGACAGTGTCTCCCTATAGCCACAGCTGGCCTGAACTCACTATGCGAGACCAGGCTGGCCTGAACTCACTATGCGAGACCAGGCTGGCCTCACAGAGATCCTCCTGTCTCTGCCTCCCAAGTGCTGGGATTAAAGCCATGTGCGACCATGCCCGGCCCACTTGTCAATTCTTAATCTTTGCTTTCTTTCCAAAGGAGTCCTCTAGAGCTGGGATCGAATTCCTTTTAAAAAAAAAATTTTTTTTTTTAAATTATTTGTATGTGTATGTGTGTATTGCCTGCATGTAGGTAAGTGCACTGGTGTCATGCAATGGCCAGAGAGGGCAGAAGAGGCTGTCGGATCCCCTGGAACTGGAGTTACGGATAGTTGTTGGCTTCCATGTGGGTGCTGGGATTCGAACCTGGGTCTTCTTCAAGAACAGCCAGTGTTCTTAACCACTGAGCCATCTCTCCAGCCCCCCCAATTCATTCTTTTAAAAAAATAATGAAAACATATACAACCACACGTACCCAAACCCCAAAATCAAAACCAAAACCAAAACCCCTCAATTTTTCTAGTAACCCAACTGCTGATTTAAAGCAGCTATACTGACAAATGACAGCAGGAAAAATCAATTGTTAAAGTCCTCATGTCAATCTGAAGAAACATTATCTTAAAAATGAGAAAGTCCCAGCACTTGGGAGGCAGAGGCAGGCGGATTTCTGTGACTTCGAGGCCAGCCTGATCTACATAGTGAGCTCCAGGCCAGCTGGGGGTTCAAGGGGATCCTTGTTCCAAAAAATAACCCACCCCCCCCCCCCCAAAAAAAAAAAAAAAAAAAAAAAAGAAGCCATGGCACAAAGAGACTAGCAATATTCAAAATGTCACCTAGGTCTGGTTCCAAAGTCCATGTTTCTTCTATTCCTTCATGTCAGACAGTGAGTAACGCCCAATGACATGAAATTGAACTACCTGAAAAGTTAGCTTATTCAAAACAATGAGACTAGATCTCAGATCAGTGAGATTCTATGGAGAAAAGCCTCAAGAAATAGGACATATATTTAAAGAGATTTCTCAGATATAATGGTCTGAGAAAAGGTTGAAGACTGATCAATCACACAGCCACAGTGTAATGAAATAAATGCATGTGGGGTGTTAGGAAAAAAAAAAATCCAGCATAGCAGATAAAATTCCGCCATGTCAGACATGACATGACTATGTAAAAAAAAAAAAAAAAAAATTGTGGAGAATTTACCTGCAATTGCTTATCTACTCAATTTCACACTTATATGGGCTAATCAATCTTTCTCAATTTTTCATATTATGTATGTTGATATGTAAGTATAAGGAGAAAAGCAAGGAATGATAGAAAGGAGGAGAGAAATATGGGTTTGTTATGTAGCACGTGTGTGGGAGGTGTCAGGAAAGAAAAGTAAGTGCTGAAAATAAAGGCGTGCACCCTCCAAAATACCCTTGGACTATACATATTTTTTGACAGGGTCCCAGCCAGCTTGGAAGCCACTATGTGGACCAGGTTGGCCTCTATCTCACAGAGACTCACGTGCCTCTGCCTGAGGGTTGGATTAAAGGGGCCCACTGTCACACCCAGAATCTGAGACTCAATATATCTATCATTAAGGGAAAAATGCAAGATTTCACTAAGACTTAACATGCACTTTATTCCTTTGTTCTATAGACAGTAGGGCCAATCTAAAACCACCCAATTCCTTATGTGTATTTATCCCTGTATTATATGGACAAGAGGGCCAATTTGAGACTTATCCCCCAATTCCCATATGTGTATTTATTCCTGTATTCTACAGGCAGCAAGGCCAATCTGGCAGAGGTTACCCAGGGGAGTGGTAATGTGAAGCATAATGATTACCCTTCATTCATATATCCTTGTACTCATTTGTGTTAACATTATCCATTATAATCAAGAAAATACTAAAAAGTAAAGAGAGCCACAGAAAAAAAATAAAGTTACATGTATATTTATACACATAGGTATATGCTAGTCTTTGCCACTGAAGAAATGCACTTATTTAGTTTGGATTTACCAAGTTCCTATTCTAGGGTAGGTCCTGTTTCAGTTGTTTGGGTATTCAGACCCAAATTTCCATTTTTCATATAAATACACTGGGTATGTAAGATAAAATATAACTTCTATAAGCTACTAAATCTAGGAATGTAAAGGAATAACCTTGGTATTTTAGCTTTAGTGGCAAACATCAATTGCTAGATTAATAAAAAAAAATAGCTAAAGTGAAACTTTAAGCAATGGTCCCAATACATCTGAAATATGGTTTGTACACCTCAGAAGCAGAAATAAAGTTTTCTGTTAAGAATGTTATGATGTGGGGCTGAAGAGATGACTCAGAGGTTAAAAGCACTAGCTGCTCTTGCAGAGGACCGAGATTCAGTTTCCAGCACTGATATGGGGGTTAACAATCACCTGTAACTCTAGTTCCAGGAGATCCAACATCCCTCTGGCTTTCGCAGGCACTGCATGACACAGGTACACTTGCATGCAGGTAATATACACACACATGCATACACAGAGAAAGTTGTTGTTGCTGTTATTATTATTATTATTATTTGGTCTTTTTTGAGACAGGGTCTCCCTGTAGCCCCAAATGGTCTGGAACTCACAGAGATGTGCCTGCCCCTGCCTCTCCAGTGCTGGGATTAAAGGCATATGCCACCACTCCTGGCCTGAGAATGTTATGTTTTAAAAACTTGTGTTACAAATGTTTTTATCCACGTAGAGGGATCTATCAATAATTCTGTACATGACATGACTGATAAATAACTTCTGTAATGTGTATAGATGGAATTTTGACAGAAACATACTCTCTTCTTTGGGTATAGCCCATTCTGCCCCCAACACCGGTTATTTATAGTTGGACTAGAGAAGTGTTGGTTTGTTCCAGGGAAATCAATCTCTAATATCTTGCAAGACTTAATACAATTAGAGATGGGGGCAGCATAATACTCTCACACCTCTCTTCACACTGTCAAGAGTTAAAAATCTCGGGGCCCGTGGTGGCACATTCAATATAGCAAACAAGGAAAATGCTAAAACCTAAGCCATCTTACAGGTTCCTACAGCCTGTCTTCCCTCACAAAAGCACCTCAGAGAAGGCCTACAGAAGTAACTCAGAAAAACAAAATTGTCTTTTTACCTTTCTCTCGGCTTCTTCCCAACATAGGAGTGATTTTTTTTGTTTCAGATAAATAAAGGCAGGCCATTCAGTAATTTTCTCATCCTTCATCTTACTACTGTAGCAAAGAATTCTACCTCTCATTAACATTCTAGAAACAGCTGGTATTATAGAGCCATATATAATTTGTAGAAAAAGAGGCTCAAAGAGCATTTTTTCCTTTCTTACAGAATTTAAACTCACATAAATGTAAAGTTCAACCCAATATACTTTTCTAATTTCAATGTATGACAACTCTATGTCAAAGAAAGATTGATTAGTTGACACAAATGTTTAAAAATCATCAGAAAAACAGACTGCATCATATTTAGGTAAGAAAACGATTTCAGTCATTTAGTTAACTTTCAACCTTGCAGCAAACCACACTCCTAGTGAACAGTCAGAAGCTAGAGGATTAGGTTTTGTAGTCATACTCACCTTAAATTACTTTGCTGGCCAGGTGGAATGACACTGTAGTATACAGGCATTCCTGCTGTGGGCAGAGATCCTTGATTAGACTGGTTAGGGAACACAACAGGCTGTTGGTAAGTCTGATGGGCAATTCCTTGAGAACCTTGAGGCAGTGAAACCTAAAATTTGAAAGACAATTTAAAGGGAAAAAAGTTTTTCTAAACTTGCAGATGTTCAGGTGACAAGTTCCTATAAACTTGTAAAGTATAAGAAGCCAGGACAAGTTCACCATCACACCATTTCTGTGCTCTAAGTAGCCTTAAGGCAGCTGCTGTTTTTGGTGGCCACTTATGAATCATCCAAATAGTTTCTGGCTGAGGTCAGTAGTCAGAAACATGAAACTGTGACCCCTCTTTTTGGTTGGCAATCTGGGATTTTTTTGTCTTACAATTCTATGTTGAAGGCAGTACAGAACTTTTATCTGACCTTGTCTGTATGGAAATGTGTGAAAGTATACACAGGGCGCAGGATGGAAACCACAAATCCATAGGGAACAACTCCTGCATTCCACGAATGGGGGGTGGTCACTTAATAGGAGGCACTCACCAGAAGGCCATCCACTGATAGTCAGGAAACTCTACAAAGGGGGAAGGCTAATATTAAACAGCCTAGGGATAGCTATTGTCCTAAGAGGTTCTAATTCTATGGTCTTAGCCATGTGTTCCCACTGGGCAGAGCAGAGCCTGAAAAAGGGCTTTAAATGTTGACATGGGACAAGGGAAGGAACCACTGGATTTACTGCAGGTTTACTAATTGGTCTAAAATGCTAGAGCCCAGACTGTAATGTGCTCAAGCTTGGGGTGCCACCACCTGCAACCCAAAAGGCTGCAGTTTTACACAAGGAAGGGAAAAGCAGACATGCTAAGTCTTAATGCCCACCTATTCTTTCTACTCTGAATCTTTCTCCAGTCTTCCAATATAGTCTGTTCCCAATTTCTTTTAAAATACAATTGTTCTTTTTTTTCTTTCTTTTGGTCTTTTTGAGACAGGGTCTCCCTGTAGCCCCAGCTGACCTGGAACTCCCTATGTAGATCCACCTGCCTCTGCCTCCCAAGTGCTGGGATTAAAGGTGTGCACCACCACGCCCGGCATCTTTATTCTATAGGTTTGAAATGTCTATGTCCTGCCTGATCTTTCCCATACTATGACTGACATCATGCTTTGTTTTATAGAGAAATCATTTGAAGTTAGGTAAGTTCTCCAAAGTTGTACTGTTAGTTAAGAAAGTGAGACTCCAGCCTATGTACTTTGGCTTTATGGCTTGAGTTCTTTAGTCTTTTTCTTTTTAAAATATTTTTTATTTATTATTTTTATTTTATGTGTATGCGTGTATTGCTGGCATTGTAGATAAGTGCACCCATGTCGTGCAATGCCCATGGAGGACAGAAGAGGTTGTCGGATCCCCTGGAACTGGAGTTACAGTTGTTAGCTGCCATGTGGGTGCTGGGATTTGAACTTGGATCTTCTGCAACAACAGCCAGTGTTCTTAATTGCTGAGCCATCCCTCCAGCCCCTTCTTTACAGTTTTTTTCTTAACCTTCGCTCTGTGACTAGGAAGTTAATAACTAAAGTCTTGCTTATGTAACATATTTCTGAAACAGAACCAACCCTTTCAAAATACAAAGTAAACTTTAAAAAATTAGTTTACTTTTTTATGTGTATGATTTTCTTTTTTTCATCTTTTTGGGACAGGGTCTCCCTGTAGCCCCAGGGGGCCTGTAACTCACTATGTAGACCAGGCTGGCCTCAAACTCACAGAGATCATCACAGAGATCAGCCCGCCTCTGCCTCCCTAGTGCTGGGATTAAAGGCATGTGCCACCACACCCAGCTATGTATATGAATTTTTAAAAGTTAATTTTTATTGGTCGGGCGTGGTGGCACACGCCTTTAATCCCAACACTCAGGAGGCAGAGGCAGGTGAATCTCTGTGAGTTCGAGGCCAGCCTGGTCTCCATGGTGAATCCAAGACAGCTGGTGCTACGGGGAGACGCTATCTCAAAAAGACCTAAAAAGTTAATTTTTATTATGTGTGTGAACAATTTCCTTGAATGTATGTAAGTGCACCACATGCACGCAATGTCTGTGGAGACTAGAAGAGGGTGTCGGATCCCCTTGAACTAGAGTTACAGATGGTTTTCAGCTTCTATGTGGGTCTTGGGAACCAAACACAGGTACTCAGTAAGAACAGCTTTTAACTGCTGAGCCATCTTTCTAGTCCAAGTGTTTTTTCTCTTGCATGTATGTGCACTGTGTGTGCAGTCCCTTAGAGGCCAGAATTATTATCTGATTTATCTATCTCTGTAAAATGCAACATATTTCAGTCTTTTTGCTTACTAAGGCAGTGTAACATTCAGAGATTAATTTTTAATTTTTATTTTATGTGTATGCACATATTGCCTGCATGTAAGTAAGTGTACCTGTGTTGTGCAATGCCTGTGGAGGACAGAAGAGGCTATCAGGTCCCCTGGAAATGGAATTGTGGACAGTTGTTAGCTGCCATGTGTGTTCTGGGATTCGAACCCGGACGTTCTGCAAGAACAGCCAGTGTTCTTAACCGCTGAGCCATCTCTCCAGCCCCGAGAGATTATTTTTAATAAATTTCATTGTTTGTACATGTGTGTGTGTGTGTGTGTGTGTGTATATATACACATACACATGGTAACTACGTACTAGCTTGTGAAGGCCAGAGGATGACCTTTGGTGTATACTTCAATCACCATATGTTGTAAAGCAATTTCCTCTGGGGTAAAATTCCATTTTGGAGGAAATGCTGCGAGTAAACAAGATGCTCTAAAGGAAGACAAACAACAGAATGTACTAAAAGGAGGTGAACATTTCATCCTGTAGGGAAGGTCATTAAGCTCAGGAAGTAAACAACTCAACAGCTTCAGAAGTCCCTGAAAGTGACCAGATTCATACAGCATTCTCTCCCCAAACATATGTAAGCCTTAAAGACTGTTGAGAGACTCTCAGACAGCCAAGGTGCCTGGAAACAGATCAGTTGAGCTGCCTGGAAAAGACACTCTCTAGTCTGTTGAGCTGCCTGTATGTTGTATAGTATGTTCCAGGTTTCCTGCTTTTGTGAGCTGTTACCCATGCTGGAAGGCTTTTAGCAATGCAGTTGTCTTTTGAGTTGCTTCTGCTACTTTGGCTAAGTAACTCCAATAAAACTCGTTAGTTCACAAAACTGGAACTAATGGCATCCTTACTTTGTAAGTCTATTGTTGGCTCCCTATCTAGGGTAATGTTTGTTCATCTAGCCCCAAGAATAGTGTCACAACACTCTAGATTATTTTTTGAGATGAAGTCTCTCACACTGATCCTGAAGCCCACCAATTCCACTAGGCTGGCTAGGGATCCTTCTGCCTCTACTTCCTCACCTCTGGAATCACAGGCTGCTACCCCTGCTTTTTATGTAAGGGCTGAAAATAGAACCTGGTCTTCATGCTTATACAGAAAGCACTTTTATACAGAATCATCTCTTTACCACTTAAATGAAATTTTAATGAGTAAAGAAAAAAAATCTTAAGTTCTAAAAGAGGAGGAGATGCTGCTTGAGAATGTGCTGCTGTAGAACACAATGCTAAGAACACAAGGCTTTGTTGGCTTGTTTTAAGAAGACAGTTTATCACTCTCTACAAGTCTATCAAATATGGTAAGAAACATGATAAAGTAGACTGCCATTCATGGCTGGGCAGAACACTTTCTCCAGTCATTTAGCCAGTGTGAGGACTGCTTGATACAAAGTTGTGAAAATACATGCTGTAGAAATAACTCGGGAAAGTGCCTGCTTGGTGTGTAACCTCAATGGTTCAATCCCTCAGCAATGTCAAAACAGCAAGCCTCTTCTCCCCCATATAAAACAAGCCCCCTCAAAAACAAAGAACAAAATAATGATGGAAAACCTCCAAAAGAACCCTACCTGTCGTGGCTACATAATATTTTCAGAATCCATCTCCATTTTCTCATTCATTCATTCATTCATTCATTCATTCATCTAGCTTTTGGTTTTGAGACAGGGTCTTCCCTATAATAGCTGGCCTTGAACTCAAGATGTAGACCAGGTTGGCCTGGACTGCAGATAGACCTGCCTATGTCTCTTAAGCACTGGGATTAAAGGCCTGCGCCACCACAACCAGCACAGCTCAATTTTGAAATAACTATACTATCAAATCTAGATTTTGTTCGTTTTAAAAAATACTTTATTATTTTTATTTTAGGTGTATGAGTGTATTGTCTGCATATAGGTCATGCAATGCATTGATCCCCTGGAACTGCAGTTATGGACAGTTGTTAGCTACTATGTGGGTGCTGGGACTCGAACCGCAGTCCTCTGCAAGACCAGCCAGTGCTCTTAACCACTGAGACTCCAGCCCCAGATATGTTCATTTTTATCTTATATGTTTAAGTGTTTTGTCTGTGGAGGTCAGAAGAGGATGATGGAGCCATCATTTGGGTGTTGGGAACTGAATCTGAGTCATTTGCAAGAGCTACAAGTGCTCTTAAAACACTGAGCCAGCTCTCCAGCCCCTGAACTTTATTTTCAAATAACGGTTCACTAGATTATGAGTTCTTAAGGAACAAGGACAGATCTCTTTTACTTGGATCTTTAGAAGCAGCACAGTACTTGGGCAATTAAGAGAGATGTTCGATGTTCTGGATGAGATATCAAGACCAGGGTCCTGAAGAGGGCAGTGCTTCTGGCTTGGAACTGGCCCCACATGATGTCTAGCTTTGGAGAAGCTCATGTGACTAGGTCATACATGGAGGATATTGTAAAAAGCAGAGGGGACAGGATATCAGGAGAGGAAAAGATGTGAAATCTAGTTTTATGATGCATCTCCTTTTTGTAGTTCCTGTATATTATAAATAGGTTTCAAAGCTAGATATACTCTTATTGCTCCTTAGCCCTGACACTGTCATATTGCATATTTTAACTTAAATTTCTAGAAATGTATGGAATATGCTTCCATCTCTGCTTATGCTCTTTTCCTCCCCTGGTAAGCTTCACAATTAATGCCCACAATTTTCTTTTAAAAGCTAATTGAAAGTTTCTGTCTTCCTAAAGGCTTTGGTAGTAGGCCCTTTAACATGCTCAGTACTTTATTCATGATCTGTCTGATACTGGTCTGAACAATAAATTATTGATTTGTTTACCTAGGTTAAGATACAATACAGGTATCTTTTTTCTTCACAACAATTTTATTTTTCCTTTCTGAATGGAAATGACCTTTGATTTTTTTTTCCCTTTGAGTCAAGGTCTCCCTGTAGCTTCAGCTGGCCTGGAACTCACTGTGTAGACCAAGCTGGCCTCGACCTCAACCTCTCTCTGCTATCACAGTGCCTGGATTAAAGGCATGTGTCACCATGCCTGGCTTAGGTGGTTGGTTGGTTCTTTGTTTTTCTATCTTTCTTCTTTTGGTCTTTTTGAGACAGGGTCTCCCTCAGCTGGCCTTGAACTCACAGAGATCTGTCTGCCTCTGCCTCCCTAGTCCTAGAATTAAAGTCGTGCACAAACATACCTGGCTTGGTTTCTTTAATATTTGCTCAGCTACAGAAAACCAAGAGGCTAATAAAATCAACTTATAAGTTACTCCCTAAAGATGAAAGAAAGAAAACCAAATTCCTAAAAATATGTCACATCACTCTAAAGATAGCTACTTATTTGTGGAATAGTCAATATTTCTGTTCTAGATCTATAAATAAAAGTCCATAGCATTTTTTGTTTTGTTGAGAGAGGTTCTCACTGTTGAGCCCTGGCTGGCCTGGAACTCTCTAGGTAGATCAGGCTGGCATCAAGCTCAGACATCTGCTTGTTTCTGCCTCCTGAGTGCTGAGATTACAGGTGTTTGCCACCACACTTAGTCCTTCATAGAATTTTTAATACAGAATCATTAAGATTTGGGATCAAGGTGGGGGAAAATTAGTCTCGGTCTGGGAAACTAGACATACTTACCAATTCTATAAACATGGACTTATAGTCTGCATGCTATCTCCTTATATCAAATACTGTCTTCACCTCTGCCTTCCTTCCTATTCCTCTCTCTCCCCAAAGGAGACTTTCTAGGTAACTGAGGAACATAGTAGGACACTTGCTTATATACCTGTATAGTTGGAAACACAGTACCAGGCAAAATGTATGGGCCAGTATCAATGTAGTTCAAATATTCTAAACATAAATAAAGCAATAAAATAAGGATATACAAAGTTTTCTTTTCTTTCTTTTTTTGGTCTTTTTGAAGCAGGGTGTCCCTGTAGCCCCAGCTGTCCTGGAACTCACTATGTAGACCAGACTGGCCTTGAACTCACAGAGATCCGCCTGCCTCTGCCTCCCAGGTGCTGGGACTACAGGCCTGTGCCACCACACCTGGTAGACACACAAAGTTTTACTTTGTGCATCCTTATAACAAAACTCTTATGATGGCAATGCTGGGTATTAAAGAAGTATTTCCTCTCTATTAAAGGAACAGAGTAGCTGAGTGTGGTAGCACCTGCCTGAGAAGGACCATGGGCATGAAGCTAGGCTACATACTAAGACCCTGTCTCAAAAACTCAAAGGGAACCCAAAAATTAAAACAAAAGGACACATAAAAGTACAGAGAAGATACATTGTAACTATCCCTTTAATATTTTTGAGACAGGGTATCTCTAGGTAATCAGGCTGGCCTGGAGCTTACTGTGTTAAGTCCACACTAGCTTTGAACCCACAATACAGATGTGTGCCATTAGCCTTACTGAAGCTATAGAATTCGGTTGATCTGAAATGATCTCTCCCTAAAGCAGGAGGGAGAAAACATACTTGATATGATGGCACTGAAGGATAGGGGATGACCACTCCTTGGATGTGAGTTCCAATGCTGTTTGGTTGGCCTCCAACGAGATTCTGACTCTGGGGTGGTTGAACTCCAACTATTCCCTGGTAGTTTTGCTGCTGGTTGGGCATAACTTGATAACCTGCAATGGCAAAATGAATTAAAATTATGTTGAGTTTCTACCTCCCCCAAAACATCTATTCAAAAAAAAAAAAAAAAAAAAACCTGTGTACAAAGATTTCTTCCATAGTTAAAAAAATTTTATTGGGTCACAGACTTGGTTAACACAGGACAGGCATTATTCAATTTGTATCACAACATTTAATGACAACTAGTCTCTGGGGATATGGATGGCCTAGGTAATCTGTTGGGAAAATTACCTCTAAAATTAAAAGAAAAAATATGTAGCATCTCTTTGAAAAAAATACTAGGAATTTCAAGTAGGTTAAGAGAATATTGAAGGATACAGGGATGGGGTCCTGTGCACTTGCCTATGAATCTGGCTGTGCTGGGGACCAAAGAGATTATGCATCTGTTAAGGGACAATTTTTAAAGAATGGTTCTAAGTTAAAAACAAGAAAACAAACACACCAAGATATGAATCCTTGCTTAGGAAATTAAAAACATACAGAAAATGGAGTCATTCAGTACTATTTTAAAGAAAAACTCAAGACACATTTCTAAACATTACCCAAAATTCTTTCTCTCTCTTTTAACTGCTAAAGTAAAAGAAACTATACAGAAACCTCAACTACTGACTGGAAACAAGAGCATTACCACAGTTGCTTAAAATCCCTACAGATCATACTCAATGATTAAATTGTAGAATGAAATTGAGCAACCACCTTCTCCACAGATACAAAGTTAAACTGGTAACTGAGGAACATAGTAACATCAAAGTCAAAATCAAGGAGAACAAATTCTCTAACAGTGAAGAGGGTTCTTTCTTGTTGGTGGTGTTTGTTTTCTGAGACAGGTCTGTAGCCCTGGCTGGCCTAGAACTTGCTATATATACCAAGCTGCCCTGGATTTCACAGAGATCTACCTGCCTCTGCCTCCTGAGTGCTAGGACTAAAGGCCTGTGCTACCACATCTGGCATAACAGTGAAAAGTTTTTGTAAAATGATGGCAACATTATATACTACCATGTTTAAAATTACTTCACAACAGTCTAACTTTGGGTTTAAAAAATATGCTGTCTCCTATCCCCTTCTTTGTGAACTTCCTAGGAACACTGCTTACATTTGGACACAGACCAAGGAAGAAGGCAAAAGAAACTTTTACTATACTTTCAGGCTAACCACACTGAACTTTATCTTGAGTCCATCAAATGACAAATGTTTCAAATCACACACCAAATTACAAACACCATCAACACACATATGCACAGACATCTTTCTATCTCTAATAAAGAACAAGAATAGAAATGGGAAATGACTATAAGACATTGTGTTACAGATGCCTTTTCACCCCCCACCCCCAGATGTCCCAGCTTTGTACAAACTGGGAAAGGAACTTCTTACAATGGAGTTGGGTGAGTTATATTTTGAATTAAATAATAACATTCCCCCAAGAAACTACAAATATTTTATGTATTACCTTATTTTTTGGAAGGAGTGATCAAACCAAAGACCTTGCACATGATAAACATGCCACAGCATTGAGCTAAATTCCTAATCTGCATGTTCACCTGGGTCTTCTGCAAGAGCAGCCCTTAACTACTGAGCCATCTTTCCAGTCCCTCCATGTTATTCTTACAGTTTATTTAAAAAGATTAAGATTGTAGGTTGTCCTAAAAATCTATGGGGGAAAGCACCAATTTACATGTAAATGTATTGCTGATTTTTAAAATGTATCTATATTTGTCAAATTTTGGAGACTTGTCTTAATGGCATCCTTCCTAAAATTCTCTTATGAAAACAGCCTGATACATAAGGTTTTCAAGTGAACAGCTCCAGAAACCATGTCACAGTGGTTTAATGTAGGATAATTTGGATAGTACAATCAGAATTTGCATCAGGAAATGCCAATAAATATCCATTTTTGCTAAATGCTATATACAGACACACATAACCACCTCCATGAACATTTTGGAAACAATAACATGAAATCTAAACTCCTGACCCCTACACTTGGCCATGAGTTAGGAAGGGCAACTTGCATTGTACTTGTGAGCTGCACTTGTCAGAGGGGTGACATGAAGAACATGATCTTGGAAATGAGGATTCTGAGATATGAAACCAAGTGAGAATGGCAGTATTAGCAATCTTGTCAAAGAGAGAGAAATGAATCCTCCCTGATATGGAGGTAGTAACACCTGTGATTTGGCACAAAGAAAAAACAACCCAACAAAAAGGTCTTGAAAAGGCAAGAAAAAAAAAAAAAATCTGAGATTAGAGAATAGCCCATAGTAGCCAAATATGCTGTGTGTAGTGAAAGGCAGAAGATAAAGGTGGAACAGAACCCTGGTGGAAAGCACTAGAAGTTCCAGATTCCAAAGACTGCCAGGTTCACAGCAATGGCCCAACTCCTAGTACCAATTTTCTGTACTTCATTTTTGTCTCTTAAGGGAGAAACTGTTTACACTGGCTCACAGTTTCAGAGGTTTCAGTCTATAAAATAGAGGGGAAGGCATGTCCCCACAAGTACATCCAAAGAGTGCATCAATAATCAAGTTTAACATCACATTTAACCTCTTTTGAGATCTCAAAAGATTGAATGTGATCAGGATGATATGGCCATGGATTACTCTACCTTGTGACTGAAATGAATTAAGCGTTGTGCCCTTGAACAACAGACTCTTTAAAAATAAGAATGCTGCTGGGTGTGGTTATGTATACCTTTAGTTCCAGAAGGAGGTGGATCTCTTGAGCAATTGAGGCCAGCGTGGTTTATATAGTGAGTTTGAGACCAGCTGGGGCTACAGGGAGACCCTGTCTCAAGAAACAAAAACAAAAAACAAACAACCCAAAAAGAATGCTATGTGCTTTAAAGGAAGAAATTTTAACACCTACCATGCCCTTTTCAAAAGAAAGTAACAAATAATTAACTATCAGCTAAATCAAAATGTAGACACTCTATATTTAAAACGGGAAAAAAACACATTAACAAAATAGAATCAAATTAAAACATCTTCTACATAAATCTACAGACTTACTATGTGTTGAAAGGCTAAGAATGGCCAGTTTCTCACTCTCCACATTTAGTAAGTGGTTCTGATGGCAACAGTTTAATTTAATATAACATTAGTTTATGAAGTTAAGTCCATTTAGCCATCTTTTCATTAAAATAACAATCCCATGAATACTATACCAGTTTAGATTTGGTGACTCACTCATAAAGCCTCTCAGGAAACTATCCAGCACTGAGCCACAGATGTCATGTAATTCAACACAGAGAACTTATTTAATAAGGAAGTCTATGAAGCTATTTTAATTTGTATCTAATATGTAAAGAAGAAAGTGTCATTTCAAATGTTCTGAAAACAATAGATATTAAAAATGCCTTTAAAATAAACTTATCTGATCATAAAACATTTTCATGGTAGTAAATTTAGAAAATAAAAAGTCACTGTGAAATAATCATCTATAATCACTATTTACTTATACAAATGGCTAATCTAGATTTCTATTCTGTCGGTAATATATATTTGTATTACTTACAAAAATGAGATCATGACATCCTGCTTCAAAATCTTTTTCCATGTAATGCTTCTAATTCTGATCAACAGAGATTTTACAAAGTCATGGGAAGGAGATGTTTAAATAAATTTTCTTGAAACTTATTTAGGCCAGGTATGGTGGTACACACCTTTGATCCCAATCCTTGAGGACACAGAGGCAGGCAGTTCTCTGTGAATTTTGAGGCCAGCCTGGTGTACATAGTGAGTTTGAGGCCAGCCAGAGTGATACAAACAAAAAAAACCCCCAAACCTATTTAGACCTGAAGTTTAACAACTAAAAGATGAGAAATTAACTCAACTGATCTGTATGGGACTTTAAAGCATGTGCCAAGTGTGGTGGCCCATGCCTTTAGTCCCAGTACTTGGAAGGCAAAGGCAGGTGGATCTCTGTGACTTACTCTGGTCTACACAGTGAGTTTCAGGCCAGCTAGGAATATAGGGAAACCGTCTCAAAGACCAAAAAATAAAAAATAAAAAATAAAAAAAAGAAAGCATGTGCTGAGAAGCTAGAAAGACTAAGTATGGAATTCAGTCTAAAAATCCTTTAGAATTTAGGATATCATGTAATTATCATAGTTTCAAAGGCACGACAAAGTAGTATTAATAGCTAACACTCATATAAATTTATTAAATGTTAGCAATGCTTTATCCACATGAAGTTAACGATTCAGCCTTCATAATCTCCTGAAATAGGTACAATTATCCTTACTTTTCAGACGAGGAAACAAAGGCACAGAAAGGTTCATACCTTTTTCAATGTCACCAGCCAGTCAATGTGTAGCTGGATTCCGCATGTAAGATCTACCTTCCTCAGGGACAAGTGTTGAAGTGGAATGAGTATTACAGAAATATTCAAATAACCAGGACCTTCTTTGATTCTCAGGAGAATTTTAGCTGAAGAAGACTTTTATGCTATTTAATATACCTAAATTTCTAGACAGACTTAAATGCAGGTAAACAGGATTATTGTAAATGAAGTGAGAACGAACCAATCAATTGTTCATTTGAATCAAAGACTATTTGGGGAGAATAAACTAATTAACCAAAATAGGAATCAGGTTGAAGTACTTGGTACAGAAAAGCAGCTAAATGGACCTAGGGCTAAAAAGTCACCCAGAGTAAAGTTTATGCTTCCAACCCATCATGACCTCATGGTTTTTCTTGCTATTTAGCACATTTTGTGACCTGTGTACCTCAAAGTTATACTTCCATGCTTTATTATGCTTAGATTTCACAGTATAAAACAATTAGGAAAGGGAGACGAGGCTCAAATGATGATATATCTCAGGTTCCATATCCATAGTCCTGTGTCTCTGATCCTGGGCATTTCCCTTCCAATCTACAGTACTCCTCTCGAGGACTCAGCTTTGCTGTTTTGCCTCTGAGGCAGTTTTGGCTTGAAACAAACATGGTGTTGCCATATTCCAGATGAGTCTATAGAAGATTTTTACATATGGTGG